CTGTCCAGCATCTCTAATTCAATTTTGTTGGGAGATAGCTTTCCTGAGACATGACACCCTAAATGATGGAGGTTTAGTTTTCATGGAGTTCATGATAAACTAATTGAGAGACTTGCCCTCTGATACATATACGGCGGTACACCTCTTTCTATTTTTATAATTTCATTTGATTGGTCTACGAAATAGATTATTCTGTCAAACAGGCTGCAGGGTATATAGGATTCGTTGTATGGATATTTTGTTTCATCACTTACTGCTTAGTTTAATGTTGAAACATCGCCAATAAGCTCCCATGATTTTTTCAATAATGGAGGTAGACACACTACTTATTAGTGGAAAGTAAGACTGTTACGAGAAATTCACATCATGGTACAAAGCATTAGTTGTTGCTAATATTCTATTGCTGTCGGCTGTCAAAACTTGTTTTCAAGTGAAACAAAGTTGGTAAGAGCTTGATGATAATAATCAATTAAATGGATATTTCTTTGGTGTGTCTATATGTGGCTAGTTTTCGCGCGAAGGCTATCATTTCTAGCAGTGCTTCATATTTGGTGATTTGCTCTGCAGATGGAAGATATATACTTTGCCATACCTTTCCCTCCCAATTTTGGTTGAAAGCAAATTTTGGGTTGTGCATAAAGTAAAATTTTTTCAACTATCATTCACCAGGTATTGGCGAGGGGGTAAATTCTCGTGTTCTATGGCAACTGTTGGTCTAGCTTGTTCTCAGTTAGTTATATCATGCATGTNCTGGATTTTTTGAGAATCCAGAATGGACCATCTCATTTTGATGCTTCCAAATCAATCCGCAATGAATAAAGAAATATTACGAACTCATCTGTGTCCAGAAAATAATGTATATCAAACCAAAAACCTTCTTCTTGCCNAATCAATATTGAGTAGGAAAATCTTGAATTGGCTTAATCAAAGAAAGCAATTCCATTTTTCCATGTAGTTTGTCGGTCAAACCAATGATTCTTTTCTAAAAGTAATTGAGAGATCTTTTTTCTAGTTAGACTTCTATCAATGCAATATAACTCACAATAAATCTCGCATATTTAGCTAAAGTAAACGCTACTTGATTTCCATTTCTCCGAACCATAGCTAATTCATGATAACTAAAACTTTGAAGATCATTCTTGATACTGTCCAAATTCATAACCAAAGGTATCGTTTGTGTCTGTGTCTCCATTGCTTTAACTGCCTTCAAAGCTTGATTGAATCCCCTTCCAGAATAACATATTGCACTCCTTGATGAAGAGCAAAAAGCATAGCTTCCTTCATAGCAGTGATTTCTGCGTCCAGCCCTCTGGAAACAATTTTCTTGGCCATACCAGCCACAAAAATACCATTGCTATCTCTGATAACAACTCCAACACCAAAATTCTGGCCTTCCGCAAACACAACACTACAGAAATTAACCTCAACAAGACCAGCCCTAGGAGGAATCCAAAACGCAGAAACAGATACCTGTGGTAGAGCTCACTGTGCATCGTTTATCTGCTGATGACTAGCTAAATACTTTCTAGCTTCTCTGACAATATTAGCTGGATTTTTTGAGAATCCAGAATGGACCATCTCATTTTGATGCTTCCAAATCAACCCGCAATGAATAAAGAAATATTACGAACTCATCTGTGTCCAGAAAATAATGTATATCAAACCAAAAACCTTCTTCTTGTCATCTGTCTTCTTTTATAGTTTACTTGATGAAAACCACGATAGCAAGCTAAGGGACAGATTGTAATTTCACCTTGAACTTGCATGGGAGATGATGTAATGAGGTGTAGGAGTAACAGTCTTCGTTGATTAATTAGGTGCTGAAATATTTGTGATTTTCAAATGTCTTGAATTGTTTTAGCATTGTGGGCTTCTCCACTCAGGTCTTGTTCCATTCCTTGATGATTGTTTTATATAACATTGAAGAGCCTGTATCTCTAGGTAGTTATGGTGCCATAAGGTAGAGTATATGCTCAGTCATACATACAACCAAGATTTGGTGTCTGATGTTTCAGATGATAGCTTCTTGACTTGAAGGCCTTTCTATGATTGTGTTTGGTTAGTCGTTTTCATCACCCGGTTAGCTCTAAGGAGGCAATTGAGAGTTCCGCCTGAGTTAAAAACAGTTTCAGATGTAGTGGAGGTGTACGAGTCTACTATTGTTTTGGTTGCTTTTGCTCACTAAGGCTGTGAGGGTGTCGCTGGTAATGGGTGGTTGATAATTGTATTGTCCTTTTGTGTCGGTCTTATCAAAATTATATAACCCTTGAGATTTGGGTGGTGGTGCTTGTATTCATGGGGCTGGGCATCCACTTTTTGAGAATTTAGCATTGTTGATGTCCTAGCCATTTGATTTGAATGCAAGAAATTATGCACAATCGCAATACTCAGAATCTTTCATATCTAAAATAATCATTGGTGACTATTTGTTTCCCAAACTGTGAAATTTAAACTTTGTTCTTCTACCTGACTGGTGAGCAGTTTTATATACAATTATCTTGTAATACATATTGAAGAACATAAAAGTTCATTTTGGTTTGTGGACCAACATAAATCTAACCATACTAGCAGGAGGTTAGTCACAATAACCTGGAAGTGACAATAATAGTGTTATACTATTGTCGACAATTAGGTCCTATTGGCGGGCACCAAAGTGTATTTGGAACTAATCCACTTCCCATGGTAATCTATTCCTTGGATCAGGATCTCTTTCTCTCATCTTCTTCCAGCAAATCCTATGTTTTCTTCTGTCTTTTTCTCTTCATAGTATCTAAGACGTATTAAATTAGTCTATATTTGTAAACCATATCTCTTAAGATTCCTAAAGTGCCTCAGAAAACGTGTTTGGAGCAATTTAGGCAACCTATGGAGTAAAATTGTCACAAGGAAGGTAGCGTGTATACAAGATTTCGTGACATTGCAGGGATCCTTAGCATAAAAGGTTTAACAGGTTCAGCTTTTGTAGGGTATATGGCCTAAAACCTTGGTTAGGTTAGGTCCTTGAGCAGATGGATTTTGCCATTGAACAGAGCAGCACGGAGCCTAGGTTGCATTTAGATTTGAAGTATAGGTTTGACCCTGGCCTTTCTATTTGTAACGTGTGTCAGTCGAAGAGAATATCTCGAAGGACTGACAAGATACTGTAAGAGGAAGTCTTGGCTTGATCTCAACAAGGTTTCAGGAGGTGATAGCTCATGGCACCTAGGTTAATTGAGCGAGGAAGGTGAATTGGAGAATTGCTCAGGCAGCAAGAGAGATAAAAGAATTGGACGACAAGAAGGTAGAGGAGAGCTCTTAGGAAAGGATGGATAGAGGTAATAATATCAAGAGTTGAAGAGTGACAGTTTCTTTCCCTTTTTTTTTCTTTTTTTTTCTTTTTTTCTACCCTAGTCCTAATAGGATTTTTTTTTTTTGGGAGAGGGAGAGGGAGAGGAGGAGGGGGGGATTTGAACCCTTGACCTCAATAAGGTAAAGTTTTCACAAGGTAAGAAATACCATTAGACTAAAGACTCATTGGTTAGTCCTAATGGAATTAGTAGAACTACAGTTGCCTATAAATTTCTAGCTAATCTTATTAATTGGAATGTTGTGTGACAAAAAAATTAACGATGAGGTTGTGCAATTTGCCTAATCGATCTGAGGGTTAGTCGTGATCTTTTTCCTTCACTCTTTGAACTTTGTTGTTGCACTCTGAGATAACCAGAAAAATGTCATTTTTCAAGGCTTTTTTAAAACCATAAACAGTGAAACAACATTATTTGCTATAGTTTTTTTTTTCCTTTTTGGTTTGATCAGAGATGAACCTTCAATCACCATCTGATTCTCCTCCAATTCACTTTTGCTTTTCCTACCTTCTTATTCATGTTCTTCAAACAATCAAATTCCTAACTTCTTTTTTGTTGATCTCTGTCGCAAAGACCAAAGTACTGTCTCTCTTTCAGTCTCTACAGACAATACATTGGCCACAAAAATAGTATTAATATTATTTTTAACTATAGATATTTATTCATCTTTAGTTATATATATTGATTGATATGTTTATTTTAAATTAAGCGAATCTTATCTTATGATAAACGATGCATTATTTTAGAAACATTAAACGCATTGCAAAACAAGTTTGACAACCTTGACTTAAATAATTTACCCCGCCCACCCCCCC